CCCGACTAAACCAGGACTAAACCCAGGACTAAACCAGACTAAACCCAGGACTAAAACCCAGGACTAAACCAGGACTAAACCCAGGACTAAACCAGGACTAAACCAGGACTAAACCCAGGACTAAACCAGGACTAAACCAGGACTAAACCCAGGACTAAACCGGACTAAACCAGGACTAAACCAGGTCTAAACCAGGACTAAACCAGGACTAAACCAGGACTAAACCCAGGACTAAACCCAGGACTAAACCAGGTCTAAACCAGGACTAAACCAGGACTAAACCAGGTCTAAACCAGGTCTAAACCAGGTCTAAACCAGGACTAAACCAGGACTAAACCAGGACTAAACCAGGTCTAAACCCAGGACTAAACCAGGACTAAACCAGGACTAAACCCAGGACTAAACCAGGACTAAACCAGGACTAAACCCAGGACTAAACCCAGGACTAAACCAGGACTAAACCAGGTCTAAACCAGGACTAAACCAGGACTAAACCAGGACTAAACCCAGGACTAAACCAGGTCTAAACCAGGACTAAACCAGGACTAAACCAGGACTAAACCAGGTCTAAACCAGGTCTAAACCAGGTCTAAAACCAGGACTAAACCAGGACTAAACCAGGACTAAAACCAGGACTAAACCCAGGACTAAATCAGGACTAAACCCAGGACTAAACCAGGACTAAACCAGGACTAAACCCAGGACTAAACCAGGACTAAACCCAGGACTAAACCCAGGACTAAACCAGGACTAAACCAGGACTAAATCAGGTCTAAACAATATGACACTAACAGTAGAGTGGACAGTGATTTCATATAAAAATCATTTCTCTATCAATAATATTTTTAATATGCTTAAGTAAAGACGGGACTTTTTATTTTCTTTTAGCAGATAAAACAAATATCTCATGTTAAGATTTCCTGGTCTTTGCTTCTCTGCAGTAAACAAAAGTCTGTTCATGGAGACTTGGACTCAACAGACAATTTGAAGAAAACAAACAAGAATTTTCAGGATGTGGTCGTTACATTCATGTCGTTTTAAAAAGCAAGACAATATCAAGTAATCCAAAGTATTCAGATTACATTACTCACTTTAAGTAATTTAATGGATTATGTTACAAACTACATTTTGGGGTATGTAATCTGTAATCTGTAGGGGATTACTGTCACGCCCCTGCCTGTCCTGAGTCTTCTGTGTGTGGATGTGGGCGGAGTCTGCTGGGAGCACCTGCTTTCCATCTCCAATCAAGCCTGCAATAAAGGCCCAGCTCTCCTGCCAGACTCTGCCAGACTGTTTCGTCTACCTGATGGTGATTCTCCTATCGGCTCAGCTTTTGATTTTTCCTCGCTGGCTATATGCTAACCTGCATTTTTTGTACTCCTAGTTCCCGCCTTTCAAGACTCCTGCATCCCGGCATCTGGCTCCTCATCTCTCCACCACCTGACCTCCCTGGTTAATAAACCTTGTACTTTTGCATTTTTGTTGTGGTTTAGAGTCCTTTTTGGGTCCACTCCAGTGTTACCTAACAATTACATTTTAAAAGGAACATTCCCAACACTGACTATGAATATGAATGAAGAAAGAAGAAAAAAAAAGAAGAGGGATTTAGCCCAAAATGTTAAAACAGGAAAATACCTCTGTGTAATCCATTTATTTCAACAAAGTAACTGTAATCCAATTACCACTGAATACAGTTACTCATCATTTGTACTCTGATTACATAACTCCGGTACATGTAATCTGTTACTCCACAACACTGAGTATCGATACTACAAAAGTCTCACTGACAGGACAGAGCAGAATCTTTCCTGAATGTTTTTAGAACAATCTGGAACTGGATCAGAACAAGTTTAAGAGCAAAGAGACTAGAATACACACCTGGACCACTGAGGAATTACAAAAATATAAGAACTTATGCGAATAGAAAACAAAGTACTACAACTAAAAGGTGAAAATCACAAGATATTGTCTGAATAAAGAGTTTTTATGCTCTTGTTGGTGTCAGAGTCGTGTTTGTGTCCATGTAGAGTCGTGTTTGTGTCCATGTAGAGTCGTGTTTGTGTTTGCGACTCACTTGACTCCAGGAATATCCAGCATGTTGGTGAGTCCCGTCCAGTTTATGTCCAACCACTGAAACACAAACAAGAAACACCATTACACGGACACTTTATTAGGCACAGAGCAAATATTTACTCAGAAAACACAGTGTCGCCATGGAGATGTTACTGCTTTGCCTGGAACATTCCACAGTACGGCATTAACATGATGTATTTTGCATGTGTCCAAAGTCCTGCTGTTTCCTGCTATGAAAATATCTCCACAAACATGTTTTTGTTTTTATTGAGAGTGGGGTTGGCTCTCCGCAGATCTGGCTTGTAATTTGGACTGCTGGTGTTACCTTCTCGTCTCCATGGATACAGACAGGTTTAATGCCTTACAACATTCTAAGCAAAATCTCCATGGAGACAGACCAGTGTCAGACTCTTCCTCTAGAAAGTTACACAGCCCAGCTTTACGTTTGTACATCAGACGGAGAAGAAAGTCCAAGTCTGTTTCTGTCGTATTAGTAAAGGTCCTGAGCTGGTTTAGTCCAAGTTTAGTCCTGGTTTAAATCTGATTTTACACTGGTTTAGACCTGGTTTAGTCCAGATCATCAATACTGCTGGTGGGTTGGATTGGGGGGAGCGGGTGTTGGGCGGTGTTGGCGGGTTGGGGGAGCGGGTGCTGGGTGGAGGGTTGGGTTGGGGGAGCGGGTGTTGGGCGGGTGGCGGCGGGGGTTGGGGGGAGCGGGTGCTGGGTGGAGGGTTGGGTTGGGGGAGCGGGTGCTGGGTGGCGGGTTGGGTTGGGGGGAGCGGGTGCTGGGTGGTGCTGGCGGGTTTGGTTGGGGGGAGCGGGTTGGGCGTGCGGCGGGTTGGGGGAGCGGGTGCTGGGTGGCGGGTTGGGTTGGGGGGAGCGGTGCTGGGTGGGCTGGCGGGTTGGTTGGGGGAAGCGGGGCTGGTGGGTTGGGTGGGGGCGGGGCTGGGTTGGGTTGGGTTGGGGAGCGGGTGTGGGACGGGCTCTGGAGTGATGATTGACAGTCGACTGACAGACACAATGATACAACACGGCGTGGATCAGTGCGCTCCGGACTGAGACGCAGAACAGACTTTAAAATTTGTGCTCGGATCAAGCAGTTTCTCTCTTCTCCAGACACGGCGGGACACGGCGGTGCCTCTTGTCCCGCCCGCAGACGCCCGTGTCTGCGCTCGTCACCTAATAACCTGCGTCTGACTCACCGTCGCCGTTAGTCCACCTCGTAAATTTTAATGTCCTGGCCGTAGTTGATCCTAAAGAGACGACTACAGACAAGACTTTGACCCAAAAGTCAAATTTTTAACAAATTTGTACTAAAATAGGTGTTTAGTGACACTTTAAGTCCTGGTTTAGTCCTGGTTTAGTCCCAGTCACCAGAATGCAGAAAGAGTTAGAGGATATATGGTATGAACTGATGTAGTAGTGGTAGTACTATTAGTAGTAGTAGTAGTAGTAAGTAGTAGTAGTAGTAGTAGTAGTAGTAGTAGTAGTAGTAGTAGTAGTAGTAGTAGTAGTAGTAGTAGTAGTAGTAGTAGTAGTAGTAGTAGTAGTAGTAGTAGTAGCAGTAGTAGCAGTAGTACTACTACCTCAGTCTCTGTTTCTCTCTTTTATTGACATTCTTTCTCAATAATTTCTTATATTATATATGAGCAGGAGCTGCACTGTGTAATTTTTTGTTGGGGGTTTGTTGGTCATCGTCTGCTTGTTTCTATGGAGATGTAATGTCTCTGCCTGGAATGTTCCACAGTGTGACATTAAACAGCTCTACTTTACATTTATTCAGTTACAGGTGGTTTTACAGCTCAGAAACACCTAGAAAAACAAACATTCAGACTGTGAGAGGCTCGCCTCTCCACAGACCTGACCTGTCACCTGGTCCGGTCTGAGAATAGAACGGTTTAAAGTCAGACTGAGAAACTCTGAGGAAACGTCTGAGTCACACTGAAACTGTGTCAGCGTCTCTGCAGTGAAAACCGTCCCCATCGCTGGAGACACAAAGACACAAACGGCTGATGTTGTGTCCTCGGGCAAGACACCTCGTCCTCCAGAGTCTGACATCGCTGCAGGAGCATTTTTACCATTTACACAGCACTGATTCTTCTGCCTCACACAGAGAAAGTCCTGGGTTCTTTTTTGTACCAATAACACGACGTGAGAATTGTGTCTTTTATCAATTTTATCGGAGTCAAATAATTAAATAAATTAAATAAATGTATGTACGTAAGTAAGTAAGTAAAAAATAGAAACATAGTGACATAAATACAGAATATCTCAGTTGTATAAACGAAGTCAACAGTGCAAAGAAAATTTAATTAATGATTGACAGGACTCTGGGTTATGACAGAGTTATAAAATATAAAGTCAAAAGTTTGGACACTTCTTCTTTTTCAGTGTATTTTTTCTTTAACTTTACCATTTCCTACATTTATACACACAAAACATCAGATATATGAAGCAGTAGATATGGGTTTATGGAATTATAGATATTTTAGAGTCTCCACCCTTTACTTTGTGGACAGTTGTAAACTTTTGACCCTCAAAAATGTCAAAAATAAAAACCAGAATTCAAAGTAAAGGTTGTTTTTAAAGTTTTGAATTCTCTAGAGTTAATTTTTTTGTTTGTTAATTATAGAAATAAAGCAGAAACGTGAATTTAAAAGTGTCTAAACTCGTGCCTGGTCGTGTTCAATTTTTCTTTGTTTTTTATTTTCAGTTTTGTTCTTTTTGGCCCAGTTGATCTTCTGTAGGAAACTGTAAACCACAAAGACGCAGAACAAAAGCACCGGAAAAACAGGGAGGACCCACACGTACACACTGTCCTACTAATACTCACACTACTACTACTACTACTACACACTATATACTACTGCTACTACTGCTATTACAACTACAACTACTACTACTGCTATGTACTATGAACTACTGCCATTACAACAATAAGAATTACTACAACAACAACTTCTATCTACTACTGCTACTACAATGTACTTTATACTACTACTGCTACTACTGCTATTACACCAAAAATGACAATGCTACCACTGTTTTAAAATGTAATCCCCTACAGATTACAGATTACACACACCAAAATGTAGTTTGTAACAGAATCCATTAAATTACTTAAAGTGAGTAATGTAATCTGATTACTTTGGATTACTTGATTTGCTGTAGAGAAACAAAGACGAGGACATTGGAACATAAAATGTTTTTTCTGCTAAAATAAAATAAAAAGTCCAGACTTTACTGAACCAAATTAAAAATATTATTGATAGAAAACGAAGAAACACGTCCACACAGCAGGATTTAGACCTGGTTTAGTCCTGTTTTTGTCCTGGTTTAGTCCTGGTTTAGACCTGGGTTTAGACCTGGTTTTAGTCCTAGTTTAGATCTAGTTTAGACCTGGTTTAGACCTGTTTTAGACCTGTTTTAGACCTGGTTTAGACCTGGTTTAGATCTAGTTTAGACTTGGTTTAGACCTGGTTTAGACCTAGTTTAGACCTGGTTTAGACCTGGTTTTAGTCCTAGTTTAGATCTAGTTTAGACCTGTTTTAGACCTGTTTTAGACCTGGTTTAGACCTGGTTTAGATCTAGTTTAGACCTGGTTTTAGACCTGGTTTTAGACCTGGTTTAGACCTGGTTTAGATCTAGTTTAGACCTGGTTTAGACCTGGTTTTAGACCTGGTTTTAGACCTGGTTTAGACCTGGTTTAGACCTGGTTTAGACCTGGTTTTAGTCCTAGTTTAGATCTAGTTTAGACCTGGTTTAGACCTGTTTTAGACCTGGTTTTGTCCTGGTTTAGATCTGGTTTATTTTTCGGCAAAGAGTGGAATTACCAAAAATAAAAAAATAAAAAATAAAAAAGGGGATTTAGCCCAAAATGTGAAAACAGGAAAATCTCTCTGTGTAACTGTAATCCAATTACCACTCACTGAAACAGTAACTGTAACTGAATACAGTTACTCATCATTTGTACTCTGATTACATAACTGCAGTACATGTAATCTGTTACTCCACTACACTGAATGCTACTGCTACTACAAAAACAACTGCTATCTACTACTGCTACTACAACAAGTACCACAACTGCTTTCTACTCCTACTACAATGTACTATGTATTACTGCTACTACAATGTACTATCTACTGCTTCTACTACAACAACAACTACCATCTACTACTGCCAGTACTATCTAGTATCTGTAGTATCTGCTAACTACTGCTATCTACTACTACTACTTCAACAACTGCTACTAATATCTACTACAATTACTACTACGTTACTACTACTACTACTTCTTTCTACTACTACTACTGTCTACCAGACTTAAAGACACAATGTGTACATTTTTGGCTGGGAATCAGTCACCTGCTTGTTTCTATGGATACGTCATTTCTCTGCCTGGAATGTTCCACAGTGTGACTTTAAACAGCTCGACTTCACATTTATTCAATTACAGCTGGATTTACGGCTCAAAAATACCCAGAAAAACAGACTCTCTGACTGTGAGCGGAGTCGCCTCTCCACAGATCTGACCTGGAACTTGTACTACAACTACTACTACAACTACTACTACTACAACTACTACAACTACTACTACTACTACAACTACTACTACTACTACTACTACTACAACTACTACAACTACAACTACAACTACAACTACTACAACTACTACAACTACAACTACTACTACTACTACTACTACTACTGCTACTGCTACTGCTACTACTACTACTACTACTACTACTACTACTACTACTACTACTACTACTACTACTACTACTACTACTACTACTACTACTACTACTACTACTACTACTACTACTACTACTACTACTACTACTACTACTACTACTACTACTACTACTACTACTACTACTACTACTACAACTACTACTACTAACTACTACTAACTACTACTACTACTACTACTGGCAGAGTGGTTAGCCCGTCTCGTCTGTGTGGAGGTTGTGGGTTTGATTCTGCACGTCTCTGTTTCTCTGGAGGTTTTTATCAGAGCAGAGTTTATAAACACAGGAAGGAAGAGCCGGTCAGGAGCCGGTCAAGAGCCGGTCAGGAGCCAGTCAAGAGCCGGTCAGGAGCCGGCCAGTCAAGAGCCGCTCAGGGGCCAGTCAAGAGCGTCGCTCAGTCAGGGGCCAGTCAAGAGCCGCTCAGGGGCCAGTCAAGAGCCGGTCAGGGGCCAGTCAAGAGCCGCTCAGGAGCCGGTCAGGAGCCAGTCAAGAGCCGCTCAGGGCCAGTCAAGAGCCGGTCAGGAGCCAGTCAAGAGCCACTCAGGAGCCGGTCAGGAGCCAGTCAAGAGCCGCTCAGGAGCCGGTCAGGAGCCAGTCAAGAGCCGCTCAGGAGCCGGTCAAGAGCCGGTCAGGAGCCGGTCAAGAGCCGGTCAGGAGCCAGTCAAGAGCCGGTCAGGAGCCAGTCAAGAGCCAGTCAAGAGCCGGTCAGGAACCAGTCAAGAGCCGGTCAGGAACCGGTCAAGAGCCGGTCAGGAGTCAGTCAAGAGCCGCTCAGGAGCCGGTCAGGAGCCGCGCGGGAGCCGTCTGTGATAGGCTCCTCTGGGTTTACGTGTGGATTATCTTCTATAAAACTAATAAAAATCCAGTTATTTTACAGCGACGTCACGCTGGGGGTGAATAAACCCGCCTTGCCTCGTCTACGGCAGGATGTTCAGCGGTTACCACGGAGACACAAAACACACATTACCAAACACGGACCAAAAAGTTTCAAGATCTGTCTGAAAACTCAAGAAAAAAAAAAAAAAAAACCCGGTGTAGATGTCGTGTGTAGAGTCTAACAAACACGAATTACAAAATGTTTCCACTTTCATTCCCGTCTTTTCCTGTTTACTGCAGATTTAATCACGTCTCAAAGCAACAGAAACTCTACATGAACACGACTTTTCTGGGTAAAAAAAAATAAAAAATCTAACTGTGACTTTTCTGTTTAAAAAATTGTGATTTGATTTGTGATTTATGTTTAAAAAAGCTGGATTCTGTTCAGTAAACAACTTCAGGAGAGTTAACATCTGAGAGACACGAGTTTGTAGATGTTTAAACTACAGAGGGAGGGGAGGGCATCTGGTTTAGACCTGGTTTAGTCCTGGTTTAGTCCTGGTTTAGTCCTGGTTTAGACCTGGTTTAGACCTGGTTTAGACCTGTTTTAGACCTAGTTTAGACCTGGTTTAGACCTGGTTTAGACCTGGTTTAATCCTGGTTTAATCCTGGTTTAATCCTGGTTTAGTCCTGGTTTAGTCCTGGTTTAGTCCTGGTTTAGTCCTGGTTTAGACCTGGTTTAGACCTGGTTTAGTCCTGGTTTAGTCCTGGTTTAGACCTGGTTTAGTCCTGGTTTAGTCCTGGTTTAGTCCTGGTTTTACCTGGTTTGTTTACCTGGTTTAGTCCTGGTTTAGTCCTGGTTTAGTCCTGGTTTAGACCTGGTTTAGACCTGGTTTAGACCTGGTTTAGACCTGGTTTTAGTCCTGGTTTAGACCTGTTTTAGACCTGTTTTAGACCTGGTTTAGTCCTGGTTTAGACCTGGTTTAGACCTGTTTTAGACCTGGTTTAGACCTGGTTTAGACCTGGTTTAGACCTGGTTTAGACCTGGTTTAGACCTGTTTTAGACCTGGTTTAGTCCTGGTTTAGACCTGTTTTAGACCTGTTTTAGACCTGGTTTAGTCCTGGTTTAGTCCTGGTTTAGACCTGGTTTTAGACCTGGTCCTGGTTCAGACCTGGTTCAGACCTGTTTTAGACCTGGTTTAGACCTGGTTCAGACCTGGTTCAGACCTGGTTCAGACCTGGTTCAGTCTAGATTAGATTAGTTAGATTTTATTACCGTTTGTGATTTATTTATAAGTTTTACGAGTGACAGCAGAGTTTAGACAGAAAGTGTAAAATCCGTGATAAATAAACAGACGTGTGGTGGTGTAGTCGCAGTGTAGTCGTTGTTGTCGTTGTCGTTGTCGTCGTCATTGTTGTTGTAGTAGTAGTTGTTGTTGTAGTCAGTGGTGTAGTTGTTGTTGTAGTTGTTGTTGTTGTGCTCGTGACCCTTAAACCAGAGGGTGAACAGTTTCATACTCACAGGTTTCTTGAGGAAGAAGACGGACAGGGCCCCGACCAGAGGCATGTCCCCCAAGAGCGGCTCCATCACCACACGCATCACCCCGAGGAGCTGCACACAGGAGGAGACAGGGTCAGACAGGAGCAGACAGGAGCAGACAGGAGAAGACAGGAGGAGACAGGAGGAGACAGGAGCAGACAGGAGGAGACAGGAGGAGACAGGAGGAGACAGGAGCAGACAGGAGCAGGCAGGAGAAGACAGGGTCAGACAGGAGCAGGCAGGAGCAGACAGGAGCAGGCAGGAGAAGACAGGGTCAGACAGGAGCAGACAGGAGCAGACAGGGTCAGACAGGAGCAGACAGGAGCAGACAGGGTCAGACAGGAGCAGACAGGAGAAGACAGGGTCAGACAGGAGAAGACAGGAGAAGACAGGAGCAGACAGGAGAAGACAGGGTCAGACAGGAGCAGACAGGAGAAGACAGGAGCAGACAGGAGAAGACAGGGTCAGACAGGAGCAGACAGGAGAAGACAGGAGCAGACAGGAGAAGACAGGGTCAGACAGGAGCAGACAGGAGAAGACAGGAGCAGACAGGAGAAGACAGGAGCAGACAGGAGAAGACAGGGTCAGACAGGAGCAGACAGAGTCAGACAGGAGCAGACAGGAGAAGACAGGGTCAGGAGCAGACAGGAAGACAGGAGCAGACAGGAGAAGACAGGGTCAGACAGGAGCAGACAGGAGAGACAGGAGAAGACAGGAGCAGACAGGAGAAGACAGGGTCAGAAGACAGGAGCAGACAGGAGAAGACAGAAGACAGGAGAAGACAGGGTCAGACAGGAGCAGACAGGAGAAGACAGGAGCAGACAGGAGAAGACAGGGTCAGACAGGAGCAGGGACAGGGTCAGGGTCGGACTGTGTGTGTCCAAGATTCAGATTTGACCTAAAACATGCAGAGTTTGTGTTTCAGTGTTAAACATGTGAACTTGGGCTGATGGAGCTGGTTTCTGACCGGACACTGACCTGTTTATCCTCATCACTCTGTTATGTAAAAGTGTGTGTGTGTATATACGTGTGTGTGTGTGTATATACGTGTGTGCGTGTGTGTGTGTGTGTATATACATGTGTGTGTGTGTGTGTACATGTACAGAGGAGATTGCAGCAGTGACCCGGGGCACATGTACAAAGTGAACGAGAGATCAGCTCAGTTTAAACACGACACACTGGGACTGAGGAAAGATAAAGAGTCGAATGTGTGTCTGACTGAAACGTAGATCCACCCATATCGTTTTTATTCACAGCCGATACCAATACCGATCTTTTAGAACACAGAGAAACTGATCGCCGATATGTTCTGGACCGAGATCGTTTATTTTCCCCAAATAATGTAACTGAAATCTCTGATAAACTATTAAAATAAATCTTTGTGAGGATTTTTTTAGGCCGCAGATCGACCAGAACAAAATATCGGCCTGTGCTGGAGATTTAAGACCAATAACCAATACAATAAAAAGCCCAAATATCGACCCGATATATCGGCCAGTTGAGAAATGCACCATTAGAGATTTGGTTTAAATCCAGGCTCAAAACTCACTAATGCACAGTGATTCTTTTATAAAACACAGAGTTTTATTTCATGTTTAGTGTATTTTATTTTTATATTGTGTTGATTTTATCGCGAAGCACTTTGGTCGTCTTGTAAAACGCTCTCTAAATATAAAAAATGGGTTTCAAAAGAAGCGCTTCGTGGACCTCCAGAGGATAATACACAGTAGATAAAACTCAGTGCTGCTCTTTGGGAAGGGAAGTCAGTTAAAGGTTGTATGGAGGATTTTATTTTTTAGTTTCAAATTGTCAATGAAAATTTAAAACACCATTACAGAGACGCAGCAGCCTTGGAATTATGATGAACAAAAAATAAAAATAAAAATAAAAATTCATCAACTGTGGACGTGTTGAGACCAGATAAACATCAGCCAATAAAAAACGAGGCTCCCTCATTTTCTATTGGCTGTTGGGTTGTCAATCAAACTCCCTACGTTTCCAGTGTAACTGACTCGTCGGCGCGCGGGGATTTCGTGGTTTATGCGTCGGTTCTTAGAGGCTTTTTCAAGCTGTCGCTTTCTCACATTTTGTACAAAGTTTGTCGCGACGGCGGACGAGAATCCACGACCAGTTTGCCGCAAAAAAAAGTCAGTTTTTGAGCTCGCTGAAAGAAGAAGAGAAGAAGGAGAAAAGGAGCGAAAACAAACTGAGGTGATTCTTGGAGATTCCTTCCAGCGACGGCGCGACTGAAGCAGACGAAGAGTCTAAAGACGGATTCATCGGTCGCTGAATTATTTCTAGACAAGTCACGTCTCCGGTAATTCTGAACACGCACCGGATGTAAACAAATGTGATTTCTAGAGTAAAGAGGCGGGAGGAGGTGTTTCTACTGAGGCTGTGGAGGAGGAAGGTGATGTCGCTGTATTTCTCTTCCCTTAAAAAAATCCTCTATACAACCTTTAAAAGTTGCCAAAAAAACCCAAGGCACTCACGGGTTAAAATAAAATGCCTTTATTAATTTACGGCCCTTTCTCCAGGTGGTGGGTTTCTTCTATTTAATTCACATGGTTCGCTCTTAATTCGGTTTGTCCCCTGAGGTAAGTCACAGGCCGAAACGCGTCGGGACTTTGTAAGTTTGTCCATTAAAGGTTGTATAGAGGATTTTTTTAAGGGAAGAGAAATACAGCGACAGTCCTTGTGCGCGTTCAGAATTACTGTTGAAGTTTCCTGTCTAGAAGTAATTCAGCGACCGACGCGTCAGTTTTTAGACCCTTCGTCTGCTTCGGTCGTGAAATCGCTGGACGAGCTCTCCGAGAATCACCTCAGTTTGGCTTTGCTCCTTTTCTCCTTCTCTTCTTCTTTCAGCGACCTCAAAAAACGGACTTTCTTTTGGGGCGAACCGATCGTGGATTCTCGTCCGCCGTCGCGCGACAAACTTTGTGCGAAATGCGAGGAAGCGACAGTTCGAAAAAGCCTCTAAGAACCGCTGCGTAAACCACGTAATCCCCGCGCTCCGACGAGTCAGTTACACTAGGGAGTTTGATTGACAACCCAACAGCCAATAGAAAATGAGGGAGCCTCGTTTTCTATTGGCTGATGTTTATCTGGCCTCAACACGTCCACAGTTGATAGATTTTCATTCTTTTTTTTTTTTTGGTCATCATAATTACAAAACTGCTGCGTCTCTGTAATGGTATTTTAATCTTTCACTGACAGTTTGAAACAAAAAAAAAATCCTCCATACAACCTTTTAGACCGTAAATTAATAAAGTCATTTTATTTTAACCGGTGAGTGTCTTGGGTTTTTTGGCATCTTTCAGCTCTCTAAATAAAGTTTGATTTACTGATTTATTGACATATCTCCAGCTCTTTATATCTCGATCTATTATAAATAAAAGAATACAGAATTTTTAAAATGTACTTATAATAATAATAATAATGATGAGTTCTTGGTGCAGCCGCAGTCGCCCCGGGGCAGAGCGTTCTTACCTGGATGTTTTTGATGCCCGCTCGGCAGTAGAACTTCTTTATATCCACGTCGATCTCCGTGTTTCCCACAAAACTGAAACAGAAACACGAGTGTGAGGAGAGAGAAAAACACGAAGGACGATGATTATTATGAACTCTCTCAAATCAATGTAAAACCAAAAAATAAGAAAATGAAAATATAACAGTTTTCTTTATTATTTGTCTCCAAAACCAAAATGAAAAAACAAATGATGATTCGTTTTTTCAGTTTTCGATTTTGTGCTTAAATTAAAAATAGTTTAAAAAAAAAAGGATAATGACTGTTTCCTGTTTTTCGGTGACTTAAACTGTGATGCCGGACTGAACCAGGACTAAACCAGGTCCGGGACCAGACCGGGACTAAAACCAGGATTTAGACCGGGACCAGACAAGGACTGAGTCTGGGACCAGGACTGAGACTAGGAATAGGACCAGGACTGAGACTGGGACTGAGACTGAGACAGACTGGGGAACAGGACCAGAACTGAGACCAGCACTAAGACTGAACCGGGACTGAACCGGGACTGAACCACTTTCAGTCCTGGTCTGGTCCCGGTCTGGTCCCGGTCCTGTTCTCTGGTCTCAGTCCCAGTCTCAGTCCTGGTCGAGTCCCGGTTTAGTCCTGTTTTAGTTTTAGTCCTGTTTTAGTCCTGTTTTAGTCCTGGTTTAGTCCTGTCCTGGTTTAGTCCTGTTTTAGTCCTGGTTCAGTCCTGTTTTAGTTTAAGTTTAAGTCACTTAAACGCTGATTCTAAATTCTATATTCACCGTGAACAATGTATTAAAAAGTTGAACATATTTCTGTTTGTTTGTTTTGTTTGTCTTGTGGGCGGAGCTTCAGACAGGAGGCGTGGTCTTGTACGCCTAACCTCACGGAGGGTTCAAATAAGGCGCAGGAGATATCTCTTTTATCACCTGAAACCTCCTCTGACTCGTTTCTGTTGAGGGAAAAATGTTGTAACGTGAGGAACGCTCCAACACGCCCACGATAAAACTCTGACATTACACAGGACGGAATCTCCTGAGCCTAAAGCCACGTTAGAATGTCGTTACCTCATCGCAGACACACTGGGAGTTGTGTTTCCGTTTAATCACACATGTTTGAGTAATCCCGCTTTATGAGTCTGAACAAATCCCCCAGAGCTCAAAATGCAAAAGTGTTTTCTGTTTAGAAGAGCTCAGATTAAAGGTGCAGGTTTTGTGCGTTAAACATGTGACAACAAAACAAAACTCCGGAATGTAAGTCGCACCAGACAAAAAATGTGTAAGGAAAAAGAAAAAAAAAAAAAAACATACATAACTCGCACTTTTTGAGGGAAATTATTTTATAAAATCAGGGACCAAGAACTAGAGCCCGACCGATATGATACCGATATAATGGAAGTTGCCGCTGCCGATATAATCGCCGATATATTTAGTGATGTAAAAATTCACTGTAAGTCTTGAATTATAAAAAAAAAAAAAACTTAGGTTTGGATCTGGTAGATTTTAAACTGGGTTTATTTAGACAACATTTAATGTTATTCTTACTCTTTACATGATATGTCATAGGACTAAAGCAGGTCTAAGGCAGGACTGAACCAGGACTGAACCAGGACTGAGTGTTGGGACTCGGTCTCTATCTCTCTCCGTCTCTCGAGCCCAAGATTAGTCCTGGTTTATTTATTTTATGCTGAATATATATATGCATGTTTTTTTTATCCTATGCACACGCAGATTTTTGAAAGTTTCGTTTTTAGCCGCTGTCGCTGTCAAACTCCCAAGAGTCTGAACGCGACATGAAGAGAAAAAAGTGAGAGAAAGAGAAAACACGACTCCCAATAAGGATCAGGCTCCCGTCGGTCGCTTCAAAGAGCCGGATCTAAGAGCCGCTTCGATCACGACCGACTCATCACTACAAGCGAGTAAATAAACAATCACTATTAGCCTTTAGCCGTAAATGCTGCGCGCCGCAGTAATTAATTATATGTGCAAATGTCATAATTCACACGTCTGTTCACAGCTCATTTACATCAATGCAGGTTCAGTAACAAATATACAGACAATATAATCAATTTACAACAGACCAATAGAAAACAGACTGTTTATGTGTGAGAGACACAGCAGATCATCAATAACCAATCAGAACGAACCAAAACCAGCTTCAAAGTCGACATATTTCCAACACTCAGCCTCACACAGGCTCCTCCCACATCACACAGGCTCCTCCCACATCACAAGTCTGAACTAATAAATGTCCTTTTAATCCAGACTCAAACCGATTGTCCGTAAAAAGAAAATAATCTAAGTGTTGTGCACATGGATCTGTGTCTGTGAGTGTAAACAAACACATGTGACTCTGTGGTGTGTTCAGGGACAGTACGGACACACACACACACTAAATGACTCCGCAGATAAATACTGATGTGGAGCCACATATTAGGACATTTATCTGTCTGTAAATTAGATTAAATGAACAGAATGTAGAGAGTCTAAGATTTATAACGAGGTATAACATGCCCACGTGAAATATCGGACCCTATCAGCAAACATATCGGCCGATAGCTGATATGCTTCCAGTTGCTCATATCGGCCAACAGATATATCAGTCGGGCTCTACCAAGAACTGACATTTCATCCTGAAAAGCAAGTTCTAGTAAAAGAAAATTGAATAAAGAAGAACAGACTGAACAGACGCATCACGAATTTCAGATTTCTGGTCATCGTACAATCCACACTGGGAAGGATTTTCAGATTTTTTAATTTTTTTTATTTCACTGATAAAGTATAAAAAGACGTGGAGAGTGTCACAACATCAGACACACGAGGAATGAATGAAAAGGAGCAGAAAGAAGAAAAATCTTATGTTATCAGGACCCGGTCGCGCAGAAATAAAAAAAAAAAAGTGCCACTTACAGCCCGAAAACCACGGTACATTAGAAGAGAGACGAGAGGAACAGTGTGATGTGGGCCGTTTAAAGACCTGAGCTGCAGGATCCTGACGTGGGACTGAAGCAGGACTAGACTCACCTGACCTCCAGGTCCATGATCACCTGCCTCTTGTCCACGTTCTCTGTGTAGACCTTCACTCCGTTCACCCGCAGAGGCTGAAAGCACCAGAGAGGAAAAGGAGGCGGGTTAAAGCAAGTGTGACAGTGAACGGTTTTGTGTTTGGATTTAAACTGGAGCCGTCACTGTAAAAAGAGAATCAGTGTGTCGCTCGTTCATTTGTTTTTCAAAATGAAGGGCTTTGGGTGTCTGGAAAGGTGCTATATAAATGCAATCAATCAAAATAAAAACAAAAAAAAAACAAAATGAAAAAATAACTATTTTCTTCATTATTTGTCTCGGAAAAAAACAAAAAAACAAACTGAAAGAAAGAGATAATTATTTATTTTATCAGTTTTCAATTTGTGATAAAAAAAAAGGTCTGATCCTAGGATTAAAAAAACCAGGTCTGATCTAGGACTAAACCAGGACTAAACCAGGTCTGATCCTAGGACTAAACCAGGACTAAACCAGGGCTGATCCTAGGACTAAACCAGGACTAAACCAGGGTCTGATCCTAGGACTAAACCAGGACTAAACCAGGGCTGATCCTAGACTAAACCAGGACTAACCAGGATCCTAGGACTAGGACTAAACCAGGACTAAACCAGGTCTGATCCTAGGACTAAACCAGGACTAACCAGGACTAAACCAGGACTAAACCAGGTCTGATCCTAAACCAGGACTAAACCAGGTCTGATCCAGGACTAAACCAGGACTAAACCAGGTCTGATCCTAGACTAAACCAGGACTAAACCAGGACTAAACCAGGACTAACCAGGTCTGATCCAGGACTAAACCAAGACTGAACCAGTCTGATCCTAGGACTAAACCAGGACTAAACCAGGTCTGATCCTAGGACTAAACCAGGACTGAACCAGGTCTGATCCTAGGACTAAACCAGGACTAAACCAGGGCTGATCCTAGGACTAAACCAGGACTAAACCAGGTCTGATCCTAGGACTAAACCAGGACTAAACCAGGTCTGATCCTAGGACTAAACCAGGACTAAACCAGGTCTGATCCTAGGACTAAACCAGGACTAAACCAGGTCTGATCCTAGGACTAAACCAGGACTAAACCAGGTCTGATCCTAGGACTAAACCAGGACTAAACCAGGTCTGATCCGAGGACTAAAACTAAGGACCAGGTCTGATCCTAGGACTAAACCAGGACTAACCAGTCTGATCCTAGGACTAAACCAGGACAAACCAGGACTAAACCAGGTCTGATCCTAGGACTAAACCAGGACTAAACCAGGGCTGATCCTAGGACTAAACCAGGACTAAACCAGGACCTAGGACTAAACCAGGACTAAACCAGTCTGACCAGGACTAAACCACTAGGACTAAACCAGGACTGAACCAGGTCTGATCCTAGGACTAAACCAGGACTAAACCAGGTCTGATCCTAGGACTAAACCAGGACTAAACCAGGTCTGATCCTAGGACTAAACCAGGACTAAACCAGGTCTGATCCGAGGACTAAACCAGGACTAAACCAGGACTGAACCAGGTCTGATCCTAGGACTAAACCAGGACTAAACCAGGTCTGATCCTAGGACTAAACCAGGACTAAACCAGGTCTGATCCGAGGACTAAACCAGGACTGATCCTAGGACTAAACCAGGACTAAACCAGGTCTGATCCAAGGATTAAACCAGGACTAAACCAGGGCTGATCCTAGGACTAAACCAGGACTAAACCAGCAGTGTCACTACAGGCCCGGATGGGTGACCGCACAGTCTCAGGACTAAAACCAGGACCAGAACGGGACCAGGACTGAGAGTGGTTTAGTCCTGGTTCAGTCCTGGTTTAGTCCTGGTTCAGTCCTGGTTCAGTCCTAGTTCAGACCTGGTTTAGTCCTGGTTTAGACCCGGTTTAGACCCGGTTTAGACCCAGTTTAGATCTGGTATAGTCCCAGTTTAGTCCTGATGGTTTAGACCTGGTTTAGTCCTGGTTCAGTCCCCGTTCAGTCCTGGTTCAGTCCTGGTTCAGTCCCGGTTCAGTCCTGGTTCAGTCCTGGTTCAGTCCTGGTTTAGTTCTGGTTCAGTCCTCGTTTAGTCCTGGTTTAGTCCTGGTATTTATTTACTCAGTTTCTTGTGACCTCTGGTATTTTTGTTTTCCTCAACTGAGGGAAAAAAAGCTGGCGACCCCTCGTGTGTGGAGTTTAAAAACACAGTGGAGCACTTCCTTCCTGTATTACCACATGATGACATCACAAGGTGGAAGAGCTCAGTCTAAACATGCAGGGTTTGTGTGAACGAAACAAACCCCAGCTCCGGGTCAGGTAGAGTCAGGTCACAGGGTTCGGTCTCACCTTGTCTCCCAGGTCGATCTTGGTGAAGCAGAAGGAGCTCAGGTACGGCGTGGCGTTTTTCACCGACGGCTCGATGGTTTCTCTGAAGAGTTTATCCACGAACTGACAGATGAACGGCCACATCTGCTTCACCGTCTGCACCACACACAATTCAGTCAGGGCGTTTAAAACAGAGTAAAAACACTTCAGCTTCAGTGTCTGTAAACGTTCACACGGGACAAAGTCTGATACAAAACTGGACACTTCACGAGTCGCTGCGTTTGAATAAAAACACACGACACGAGACGAGTCCACGAACACAAAACAAGACGACCCATATGGAAAAAAAACAGGAAAAAAATATAAGAATTGACCACTGTCTTTGTAGTAAAATCTTTATATAAGGTTAATATGTGTCATGTGTGTTTTACTCCTGAAAGTGTTTCCCCCTTTTGCATTTTTCTCATACAACTATATTATGAAAAACTAGTAAAGATAAAGTGGACATTTTGCATGACATTTACAGGTAATGTGCATGATAAACTACATTTTCTTTGTATGTTCCGTGTAATGTTTGTATTCTTTAATTATAATAATGACATTACTATTATTAGTTTGTACGACCGTAAACGAAAACAAAAGAATCCCTAAATTTTTCATTCTCATTACTGTTTATTTTGTACGATCATAAACGATAAACTTAGTGAAAATGAAAAATGAAATATGTTGCAGTAAAAAAAAAAATCTGGGTCAGAAGGGGTATTTTTTTAAGGAAACAATCATAATTTCACTTGTTTTTCTCTGATTCTGTGGTAAAAATGACCTTTGTCCATCACTTGTGAGGACATTGTGTGTGAGATTAGTGTCATATTCAGCCCTTGCAGGTTACAAAGTTTTATATGTTTGACGCTGCACATATTTACCAAAGATCTTGTAACTGTTTTCACTGTCATATACAAATCTTTTAGGATTCAGATAAAACATGTTAAAATGGTGTATGATTTATCTGTACCTTTTCCATATGGGCAGGGTTTGATTGAATTCATAGCAAATGGTCACAGTTTTTACACCTTCAAGGGTCAAAGTCTTTACATCAAGGACCACACACACACTCACACACACCCAACAACACACACACACGCACACACACACACACGCACACACACACACACACACACACACACACACACACACTAACCCATAAAAGAGCTGTGTATTCATGTTTTATGCGGGTATTGCTCTGCACAAAACAAATAAAACTTTAAGTACATTCTTTTGGCAGCTGCTCAGCCAAAACCAAATATCGACCTGTGTTGGAAATTTGAGACAGATAGTTATGCGCTAAAAAGAGCAAATATCGGCCCGGTATATCGTCAGAAAGACAGACAGATACACCTCTACACCAGTGTACTCAGATACTTTCACAATCTGCATCTCACAGTTCAATATCAGGCACGAAAACAGGTCAGGGGTGACAAGAGAGAGAAGGGAACGCGAGGGGTGATGTGTGTGTTGGGGGGATGTATGCGATCGGCCTAAATCTTGCCGATATGGGCCTCGTTATAAATCCTAGACTCTCTACATTATGTTAATTTAATCCAGTTTACAGACAGATAAATGTCCTCATATGTGGCTCCGCATCAGTATTTATCTGCGGAGTCATTTGTCTGTGTGCGTGTGTCCCTGAACACACCACAGAGTCTATTAGCTTATTGTAAAGTGACTATATTGGCCGTATATTTGTTACTGGACCTGCAGTGATACGTAAATGAGCTGTGAATAGAGGTGTGAATGATCGACATTTACACATATAATTAATCACCGCAGCGCGCAGCATTTACCGCTAAATGCTAATAGCTGTAGTTTACTTTCTTTATTAGCTCCTAGAATGTGTTGCAAAAATGGCATTAGGCCGACCTACTGTCTGTAAATATGACACAAACAGGCAGAATAACAATAAATGTTGCCTAAATAGACCCAATTTAAAATCCACTAGAGCCAAACCTAAGTTTTTTTTAAACAATTCAAGATTTACAGTGAATTTTTACATCGCTAAATATATCGGCAGCTCCAACTCCAATTTTATCGATATCATATCAGCCGCAACAAAATCCATAACGGCCCGACCCTAGTCAAGAGCGCACTAATTGAGACCAAGACCTGTCCGAAACCACAGGGTCCCGAGACCGAGACAAGACCAAGACCTCTGAGGATCGAGACTGAGACAAGACCGAGACTTCTGAGGGTCGAGACCAGGACAAGACTGAGACCTCTGCCCCTCAAGACCAAATTGAGATCATCTTTGTCATTTTCTACATTTATTTGTATTTTACACTTATTTTATCACATTTATATCAATGTTTTTTTATAAATCTATATCTATTTGATCTGATTAATGTTCACTTTAGTCTTAAAATAAACCAGGCACAACTGTTCTGCACTGAAACACTCTCATCCTTTTTTTTTTTTTTTTTTTTTTATTCCTTACTGGAGTTACATTCTCTGACTGGTTTTGCAGTGGGATTTAGCCTCTGCACATTTTCCAAGTCAAACGCACATCGTTACAAACAAATTTGGCATTTTATCTGGCAAACTTCAGCCCACGTATCTCAGAAGGCCTGCTGTGCCGACACTGTAGCATATAGACTTAAACTTTTATCATTGAATCTACACGATCACATAGTTCACCTCTTTCGGCTTCAAAACGCTGAATTTTGACGAAAGGTGAGGGATTTTCATGCTTGCAATATTTTGTGGAGGCAACAAAACAGCGGACATGCTACGTTTTCATTTTTTTCTGTTGATGAAAAGTGCTTAAGAACAGTTATTTACACTGAAACTGAAAATGGTGTGTGTAGTTCCCTCTGTTTTTTTTAGCTGACGCTGCATCTTTAAGAACCTTTAGTGTTTGTGTGTAAAGCTGCAACCTCTGACACCCGTGGATCACATGTCATAATTTGTGTGTAAATGTTATAATTTAGACATTTTAAATCACAAATTAGAAGATTTCGTTTCATTTGTACCAAAATGACTGTGAAACGATGACAAACGAGGGTGAAAACAAGTGTAGATCGGCAAAATGGAGTCTTGAAAATAAGTGATTAAAGATTTACTCAAACATGAATCACTCCAAATAAAACTTCAGAAGGTGAATGAGAAAAAAACTACGATAACATGGATAAAAGATCTGAAACGTCTAATGTGCAGGTCTGATTTAACAAACAGAGAGACTTGTGATTCGATATATTGTGATGATATTGTCGTCAAATTTTACTGTTACATTAATCTTAATACAACAAACAATCACTGTGAACATGAAGAAACACAGTGTAATGTAATTTATTAATAGTTCAAACTCCAGTGATTCTAAAATTAACCAATTTATATAAAAAAAAAAAACCTAATTAACTGTTCTGGCCTCTAATTATTTTCTCTCCACAGAGACACTCCCTGGTTTTACTGATGCTCCACATTCAAATAAACTCAAAACAAATCCACTGAAACATCACAAATCCACTGAAACATCACATTCAAATAAACTCATCACAAATCCACTGAAACATCACAAATCCACTGAAACATCACAAATCCACCGAAACATCACATGTCCACCGAAACATCACATGTCCACCGAAACATCACATGTCCACCGAAACATCACATGTCCACCGAAACATCACACATCCACCAAAACATCACATATCCACTGAAACATCATGTCCACCAAAACATCACATGTCCACCAAAACATCACATGTCCACCAAAACATCACATGTCCACCAAAACATCACATGTCCACCAAAACATCACATGTCCACCAAAACATCACATGTCCACCAAAACATCACATATCCACTGAAACATCACATGTCCATCAAAACATCACATGTCCACCAAAACATCACATATCCACCAAAACATCACACGTCCACCGAAACATCACACATCCACTGAAACATCACGCATCCACCGAAACATCACACATCCACTGAAACATCACATATCCACTGAAACATCACATGTCCACCAAAACATCACATGTCCACTGAAACATCACACATCCACTGAAACATCACATATCCACTGAAACATCACACATCCACTGAAACATCACATGTCCACCAAAACATCACATGTCCACCAAAACATCACATGTCCACCAAAACATCACATGTCCACCAAAACATCACATGTCCACCAAAACATCACATGTCCACCAAAACATCACATATCCACTGAAACATCACATGTCAAATAAACTCATCACATTTACACCAAAACATCACATGTCCACCAAAACATCACATATCCACCAAAACATCACACGTCCACCGAAACATCACACATCCACTGAAACATCACACATCCACTGAAACATCACACATCCACTGAAACATCACATTCACATGAACTCATCACATATAACTGAAACATCACGTTCACATTACCTTGTTTAACCACTCCACCCGCTCCACATCTGGATAATGAACCTGTGGAAACAGAAACATCAACATTAGTCCAAACATACAGAGGAGTTTTACATCTGAGGCTAACCACTCTGCCACAGTCACATGGGCCTGTACGGGCCTGTCGTACATGTATATGTACTGTATATATATATATATATATAAATAGAACCGTGTGAGCAGGTGACAAATGCAGATCTAAACTGGCACAGGCTGCAGCTCCAGCGAACTCTGTATCTGGGACAGTTCCTCCTCAAACAGACCAGACTGAAACACCAACAGGGACGACCAAAATATCGAAAATCGGACACTAATCGATACTAAAACTGGCAGCGAAATAGATACGCAATAAACAAGCTTCTAAAATCATCAGGGCTGGACAAAAAAAATAAAAAAATAATCGCATTAATCACATGAGTTCGAGTGATTAATCGCGATTAATTAATGTATCATATCGTGGCCTATGTATCAAGAAACGTATCGTATTGTGGCCTATGTATCGAGGTATGTATCGTATCCTGTCCTACGTATCGACATATGTATCGTATCGTGGCCTATGTATCGAGATATGTATTGTATCGTGGCCTACGTATCGAGATATGTATCGTATCCTGGCCTATGTATCGAGATATGTATCGTATTGTGGCCTACATATCGAGATATGTATCGTATCGTGGCCTACATATCGAGATATGTATCGTATCCTGGCCTATGTATCGAGATATGTATCGTATCCTGGCCTATGTATCGAGATATGTATCGTATCCTGGCCTATGTATCGAGATATGTATCGTATCCTGGCCTATGTATCGAGATATGTATCGTATCCTGGCCTATGTATCGAGATATGTATTGTATCGTGGCCTACGTATCGAGATATGTATCGTATCCTGGCCTATGTATCGAGATATGTATCGTATCGTGGCCTATGTATCAAGATATTATCTTATCGTGGCCTACATATCGAGATATTATCATATCGTGGCATGCATATCGAGATATGTATCGTATTGTAGCAGGTGTATTGAGGTATGTATCATATCGTGGCCTATGTATCGAGGTATGTATCGTATCGTGGCCTATGTATCGAGATATGTATCGTATCGTGGCCTATGTATCGAGGTATGTATCGTATCGTGGCCTATGTATCGAGGTATGTATCGTATCGTGGCCTATGTATCGAGATATGTATCATATCGTGGCCTATGTATCGTATCGTGGCCTATGTATCGAGATATGTATCGTATCGTGGCCTACATATCGAAATATTATTGTATCGTGGCCTATGTATCGAGATATGTATCGTATCGTAGCATGTGTATCGAGGTATGTATCGTATCGTGGCCTCTGTATCGTATCGTAGCGTGTGTATCGAGTTATGTATCGTTAATTTCTTAATGATACCGGCTCTAGTCTTTAGAATCAAAATCAAGTCTGGAATTTTAGGCCAGTCGTTTCTTTTTAAATGTTTTTAATTTAGAATCTATTTGAAAATGATGATTTGTTTGTTGTTGTTTTTTTGTGCCTCTTTTCCGTTGTGTAAAAGCCGTGAGTAACATCTGTCCTCGTAACGCCCTGGAAACTCAACTCGGCGTGACATCACCTGATAATAAAAGTCGGAGGACACGTCTTTGTTCGCTCGTCGGCTGAGGTTAAATCTTTTTACGCCCGGAGGAAGACGAGGCTTTGAATTAGATTTGAATTCTCCTCCGGGACGTGACAGAAACGGCCTCGAAAAAAAAAAAAAAAAACACAGAGTCAGACAGAACGAGCCGAGTGAGACTGTGTAAAATGGAGCGAGTTATTTCTGTGAGTAACACCGGGTGATGTAATATTTGTTTTCATCGCAGACTCCACCCAAAACCACCAGCGCCGAGTGAGAAAGTGAAGAGGAAATTTAGAACAAGGTGTGGACTTCAAATTCACTTAAAGGCCCAGTACTTGATTTTTTTTTTTTTTCTTGTATTAGCGCAGAATAAATCTCCTTCCAGAACAGTGATATTGCAAAAGTAGCTCTTCAGGTCAAAATAAGTCTGTGTTTAAGTGTGTGGTTCGCATGCTAGTGGTTGTGAATCACCGTGTCGTTCGTTCATTTGTTTGTCAAAATCTCCAAAACCTAAATGAAAAAACAGATAATGATTCGTTTTTTCAATTTTCGATTTTGTGTTTAAATGAAAATTGGAAAAAAAGGATAACGGACTGAACCAGGACTAAACCAGAACTAATCCAGGTCTAAACCAGGACTAAACCGGGACTGAACCAGGTCTAAACTAGGTTTAAACCAGGACTAAACCAGAACTAAACCAGGACTAAACCAGGATTAAAACAGGACTAACCCAGGACTAACCCAGGTCTAAACCAGATCTAAACCAGGACTAAAAAAGGACTAAAGCAGGTCTAAACCAGGACTAAAAAAGGACTAAAGCAGGACTAAACCAGGACTAAAGCAGGACTAAACCAGGACTAAAGCAGGACTAAACCAGGACTAAACCAGGACTAAACCAGGACTAAACCAGGACTAAACCAGGACTAAAGCAGGACTAAACCAGGTCTAAACCAGGCCTAAACGAGGACTAAAGCAGGACTAAACCAGGTCTAAACGAGGACTAAAGCAGGACTAAACCAGGTCTAAACCAGGTCTAAAACAGGACTGAACCAGGACTAAACCAGACCGGGACTGGGACCAGGACTTGAATCAGGACCAGGCAAGGACTGAGTCCGGGACCAGTATCGGGACTGAGACCGGAATCAGAGCAGAACTGATACTGGGAACAGGACCAGGACTGAGGCTGGGACTGAGACCAGGACCAGACCGAGACTGAGACCGGGACTAAACCGGGACCGAGACCAAGACCACAACCAGACTGGGACCAAGACCAGGACCGAGAATGAGACCGAGATCGGGACAGAGACCAGGACCGAGAATGAGACCGAGACCGGGACCGAGACCGGGACCAGACTCGGACCAGACAAGAAAACAGTTCAGTCCCGGTTCAGTCCCGGTTTAGACCCGGTTTAGTCCTGGTTTAGACCTGGTTTAGACCTGGTTTAGACCTGGTTAGACCTGGTTTAGTCCAGTCCCGGTTTCAGACCCGGTTTAGTCCTGGTTTAGTCCTGGTTTAGACCTGCTTTAGTCCTGCTTTTAGTCCTGCTTTAGTCCTGCTTTAGTCCTGCTTTAGTCCTGGTTTAGTCCTGGTTTAGTCCTGGTTTAGACCTGGTTTAGACCTGCTTTAGTCCTGCTTTTAGTCCTGCTTTAGTCCTGCTTTAGTCCTGCTTTAGTCCTGTTTAGTCCTGGTTTAGTCCTGGTTTAGTCCTGGTTTAGACCTGGTTTTAGACCTGGTTTAGTCCTGGTTTTAGTCCTGCTTTAGTCCTGGTTTAGACCTGGTTTAGTCCTGGTTTAGACCTGGTTTAGTCCTGGTTTAGACCTGGTTTAGTCCTGGTTTAGACCTGGTTTAGTCCTGGTTTAGACCTGGTTTAGTCCTGGTTTAGTCCTGGTTTAGACCTGGTTTAGTCCTGGTTTAGTCCTGCTTTAGTCCTGGTTTAGTCCTGGTTTAGTCCTGCTTTAGTCCTGCTTTAGTCCTGGTTTAGTCCTGGTTTAGTCCTGGTTTAGTCCTGGTTTAGTCCTGGTTTAGACCTGGTTTAGTCCTGGTTTAGACCTGGTTTAGTCCTGGTTTAGTCCTGGTTTAGTCCTGGTTTAGTCCTGGTTTAGTCCTGGTTTAGTCCTGGTTTAGTCCTGGTTTAGTCCTGGTTTAGTCCTGCTTTAGTCCTGCTTTTAGTCCTGGTTTAGTCCTGGTTTAGTCCTGGTTTAGTCCTGGTTTAGACCCTGGTTTTAGTCCTGGTTTAGTCCTGGTTTAGTCCTGGTTTAGTCCTGCTTTAGTCCTGGTTTAGACCTGGTTTAGACCCGGTTTTAGTCCTGGTTTAGTCCTGGTTTAGACCTGGTTTAGTCCTGGTTTAGACCTACATTACTACAGAAACACAGGATTTGGTCTTCTTATTATATGATGTTGATCTTTACACATTTCTACTTCCAAACAGTTCAGGATGAAAACTTTTAAACTTTGCCCTGTTTCTCTGAGCGTTGCCCTTTGACCTCTGACCTCGGGGGTCAGATACGGTGGAGGCGGAAAAGCTGAGATCAAACACAAACTAAACACGCGGGAGAGCGAATCCGATCGGTGATGAACTCCGACCCCGACTCGAGCGTCAGAGCCCGACCCGCGTCACCTCTGCCACGTTAACCTCAAACCTTCATGTACGTAAAAACAAACGAACCTCACCAATCACAGAGCAGGTCTCACATCCCACCAGAGCCAAAAAACTGTCAGAGATCACATACGGATACTGAAAAAGTCCAACTCGATCACCGCACGAGACCAACATGACCCGACCCAGAGTCCTGCACGGGTCCATTTTTAGAGACCCACACCCGCCCGGACCTGTTAACGTCCAACCTGTTACCGCCCGCAATAACCCAGGACTAAACCAGGACTAAACCAGGACTAACGCAGGACTAAACCAGGTCTAAACCAGGTCTAAACCAGGACTAACCCAGGACTAACGCAGGACTAACACAGGACTAACGCAGGACTAACCCGGGACTAAACCAGGAATAAATCAGGATTAAACCAGGACTAAACCAGGACTAAACCAGGACTAAACCAGGACTAAACAAGGACTAACCCAGGACTAAACCAGGACTAAACCAGGACTAAACTAGAACTAACCCAGGACTAAACCAGGACTAAACCAGAACTAACCCAGGACTAAACCAGGACTAAACCAGGACTAAACTAGAACTAACGCAGGACTAAACCAGGACTAAACCAGGACTAACCCGGGACTAATGTAGGACTAACGCAGGACTAACCCGGGACTAAAACAGGACTAAAGCAGGACTAACCGAGGACTAAACCAGGACTAACGCAGGACTAACGCAGGACTAACCCAGGACTAAACCAGGACTAAACCAGGACTAACCCGGGACTAATGTAGGACTAACGCAGGACTAACCCGGGACTAACCCA